CTGACTGTTCTCAGGGCCAGGGGCTCGTGCTCCTGAGTATGGGCAAGACCATTCCTTGCTAAGCGGTGGTGCTGAGAGCCAGTTCCTGTGGGCAGGGCCTGGGGAGGTGGCGTTTACAGAAGGACAGTGAAGGACTCAGCAGAGCCGGGGATGGAAGTATTCCCTGCTGCCATGTGTTTGACAGCGCGGCTAAACACTTGACAGGTCTGGAACTCCAGCGGCTCTGACCTCGGAGTATAGGGTGGGGTAACCTAGAGCACGAACCAAGGAACAGGAGGTGGGGCTCCAGCTCGCGTGGTTGTCCTTGCACCCGCCCACAAAAGGAGCCCTTCACATTTTCCGTCCCTGGCAGCCTGGGAAGTAACAGGGAGGAGAGGGTCTCTGTGTCCTGAGCTCCCCCGGGGGCTGTTGGTTTCGGTTCCAGGTCACAGAGTAATGTTGCCTTTTGCCTTCCTGTTGCCTTGCAAGAAAAGGTCCCTTGTGTGCCCTTCAGGGCCAGCCGTCCAGGCAGGTAGCCTGCAGCAGTAGAAATGTGTCTGTATTCCCCTGTGCTCTGCCGGGAGGTCTCTCGCTGGCCAGTGTCACTCCCTCGTATTCCTCCCCACGGGAGCTCTGAGACTTACTGGGCCTGCCTGATGTTTACTTTTGTCGGGATCAGGCTCTGCTCAGTGTGCTGGCCCCAAGTCCAGTGCCTACTGGTTGGACTCCCCACTGGGTGATGTTGACTGAAGTCTATCAGTTGTTGGGGGCGCTCCTCTCCAACTCTCCCCAACTTCCGTGGCTCCTTGGTTTACTGTTAAGGCATGGGGGGCTGGAGGTGGGTCCACGGGACTCTTCCAAGGCATCTTAGTGAGAGCCAGGCAAGCCCACATGCAGTCAAGCTCAGCCATGTTGCCCTTGTATGCACACTGATGGAAACGTACTTGTACACATGCGAAGCTTCTGTGGTGTCCCCAAAGGCTGGGCAGGTGACACAGTGAGGGGCAGGACAGGGCAGCATGGGGTCAGTGAGGCAGATGCTCTTCCTTGGCCTCACCCATTGTTTCTGTCTCTACACCTCAGCATGAGTCGACATGGCAGATGCAACTTGAGCTGTGGGTGCGCTTGATTCCTGGGGGCCAGATGAACCTTGGAGATTGCAGCAGGCCTTGGGTCCCCCATGATTGCTGAGCCTGTGTGTAGTTGAGGTTTGTAAGCATTTCTTTCTGCAGCTTGTAGATGTATTGCTGAAGACCTTATGGGCTTTCTAAGACCTACATCCCAGAGGCCATGGCTTTCACTCCTGTGTGGACAGTAAATGGTGCTGGGGCACAGTGGTGGGGCCCTGGGCCTTGCAGGGTCCCTAAGCTCTTCTAGTTGGAGGTCCTGCTCAGTCCCCCTTGGCTTGAGAAGCTCCTGAGGCGTCTCTGCATGTGCTTGGATCGATGATGATGCCCCAAAAAACATTCCTTGGAAAAGCTGAACAAAATGAGTGAGAGCTCTAATCCGTCACTCTCGTCGTGACTGAGGTCCAGCACACTGCCTCGCATGGGGACCGCAGGAGCAGGGCTCCACGTCCTCCGGCTCATGGTTCTCAGATGGCAGGGTGCCTCGCAGGTCAGCTCCCTCCACCCAGGAGGCTTATGAGCACGTGCTCAGGAGGGAGAGACCAGCGAGGCAAAATGGGGCAGATGGCACTGCTGTTGGCACGTCTGCCTGGGCGAGGGGTACTTGGGAAGGCCTGGCTGAGTTTCCCACCAACCTCCTTGTGAGTAGTACTGTGCCTCTGCTCAGGCTCAGGGCCCCATTCTCCAGGGAGAGGGTGAGCCAGCCCTTCTTCTGTGACTGGTTGGTTACCCGCTTCTGTCCCAAGCCCAGCATCAGTGGCAGACACATCTGCTTTTGTGGCCTGGGATTCTCCTTCTGATGGCCATTGTTTGTTTCCACGGTGGTGGCTTTTTCTTTTCCAGAAAGAGGAAATAGTGGTCAAGTCTGACCTTTGCTGGATCCCCTGCCAAGTTCCCCAGTCCAGCCTTTATTGGTTATGCATGCCTGTTAAGTGAGCGTGTGATCCTTCCAGCAGAGCTGCCCGTTTAAGGGGTAGATTGTGGCCATGTTCATTGTCCCCCTGGTGGGAGGTAGCGAGCTACAGATGAAGGGCCCTTGTTCTGCTGGTGTGAGGAGACAGGGTTAGGACCAGGTCTTGGCGTGCAGAGAGCAGTGGGTGTGCAGGGTGTGAAGGGGCTGGGAGAAGCACACACAACACAGATGGAAATGTGCTCTTACACAGAGGAAGCTCCTGAGGTAGCTGGAGAGATAAGAGGTGGTTAAGGGCGGGTGGCATTGCACGGATGACATGGATGCCTGCTGCCTTTCACACCTGGAGCTTTTTTTTTCCTTTTTGTCTTTTTCGTTTTTATTGGTACCAGGGATCGAACTCACGACTGCCTGCTTGCAAGGCAGGCGCTTATGCTGCTGAGCTAAATCCCCAGCCCCACACCTGGAGCTTTTCACCTGCGTTGTCCAGGAGGAGCCCAGTGAGCTGAGGAGCTGCTGCATGCATTGTGCCCGGTTGATGAGCTGCATGGCTGTGGACGGATGAGAATGGTAAGCATCTCTCCCTGCAGGGTGAAGCTGTGGTCCTCAGGACCTTGACATGTCTTCGGGGCCTCTGTCTCCATTGGCAGCCTTTAGGGGTTCACTCCTCAAGTGGACTGTGTATTCCTGAACCACAGTGGCAAGACCCCGTGTCCTGCCAGGTCCTTCAAGGTCTTTTCTAGTTAGATCAGCAGACATGCCTGTGGCATCTTAGAGTGTGCTCGGATCGATGATGACACCCCAATTACATTCCTTGGAGCTGAACAAAATGAGTGAGAACTCCTAAACCGTCATTCTCATCGTGACTGAGGTCCAGCACGTGGCCACATGCAGGGCCTGCAGGGGCAGGGCCCCATTTTGAGATTCGCACATTCCTTTCACCACCCAGCGTCCATCCCTGGCCAGACCCCTGCCCCAGGTGCCTTAGGAGTGTGCCCCCCAGGACTGTGTCCCCAGAAGCACACCTGAGATGCCCATGTACGGCCAGTGTTTTGGAGTGGACAAGTGCTGAAAACTTCGCCAGTTTTTCCAGTGACAGCCCTCTGCTGGTACAGTCAGTGCTTCTGATTACCGGGCACTGATGAGCCCTGACTGCTGAGAGTCCTGTCTGCAGGAGCAGCCCTTGCGGAGACAGTGATTCAGTGTGAGTTAACTGACTGCGGCCAGGGCCTAGGTTACGAGTGTATGCAAAACAGGACCTGGTGACTCGACACAGATGGCGCCCCCAGTGCTGGTCCCGGGAAGGGACACCCCTTTGCTTTGGGCTGACCTTTGATTGGTGGTGATGCACAGAGAGCCCAGATGTTAGGAATTGCAGGAAGCTGGGACTTTGCCCCGTGTGTCAGGGATCCCAGAGCAGGTGTCATGGGGACTTCTCCCCCCAGCCCCCAAATCCTGCCCCTGAGTTGGTGCCCGAGATGTGTTTTCTGTCTTTGGCAGTCTGTTCTTCCCCTTGGGGTTCCCTCTGTACCTGGTGGGAGTTGAGGGTCAGTTTGACCTGCGGCTCCCCCTGGTGGCCACCATTGTATTTTGTTAAAGGTCACAGAGCGCTGTGCTCCGGGACTGCTTTCCTCTGGCCTTGTAAGCAGGGTCCCTTGGTGTGTTCTTCAGTAAGAGTGTGGCTTGTCCCTCTTTTAGCAGTTGGCTCTGTGTGTGACAGGTGTCACTCTCCAATGTCCCATCCCGTGGTACTGTTGGCCTGACCTGAGCCTGTGTGATGTAGGTGTGGGTGTGAGTTGGACTGTGCTCAGCCATGGAAGTCCAGTGCCTACTGGGTGGGCTCTCCCTTGGGCTCCCCATTTGTCTAGTCAGCATGATGTCGATGAACGTGGGAGGTGTCGGAAGTGCTTTGTCATCCTCAGTCTGTCCTGGTTGAGGGATGTGAGGCTTCCCAGGGCGTGTGGCATCGTCTCTCTGTGAAAGTCATCCGCTGGAGGCAGGTTTGAGCCATGGAGGCCGTGTGTACCTCGTCTCTTTGATGCTGTGCCTCCCTGGGGTAGGCAATGGGAAGCCCCTTCCTTGGGTCAGACTTTCTGGATGATGAGCATCTCCTCAGAGGCCCCATGTTTGACGTGAGGGAGGGAAGATCTGGAAACTGGTTTTCTGTCTCCCTCTCCCTTGGGACCTGCTGGCATTTCCCAGATCATGAGGGACACCCTCATGAGAAGCCAGGGTCGTGTCTTTCAGTGAAGGGGTGGTATTTGCCTTGTGGGGGGTCAGTCCCAAGCACCCCTGCGTGAGACATCTGCATTTGTGGCTGGGAATTCTGCTTGTGGCCATCGGTTTGTTTTTTTTTTCCATGTTGAAGAATCAGAATTTGATTCTCACCCATGAAAGGACTCTCCATGCAGTCACCCCCACCCCACCACTCCTTCAGACGTGGTGCGAGGCTGTTCAGACAGTGTGGGGTCCCCCGTCGGTGGTGTTGTAGGAGTAGGGGTCCATGGCCTTGGTCAGTGTGCTGCGTAGGGTTATCCAGGCCCATCGCTGTGCTGCTGTCAGTGGCAGGGCCCAGGTCCTGGCTGTAAGAAGCCCCGGGGCAGGGCTGAGGGACCACCTTTCCACCCCCACATCGTAGCCAGAGGCAGGCAGAGGCACTCCCAGCTGAGGGCACCCGTGGTTGTCCTGTGTGCACACACATGGATGCTCATCCATGCGGGGTGCTCCTGACGGATGCCCTGATGGCATGCAGATGGCCATAGGACCCCAGCCAGGACCTGTGGGAGCCGTGATCCAGATGCCTTCGCTGACCTCCCCGTGGTTTTTTCTGTCTCCACTAATCAGCGGGAGTTCCTTCAGTGGGTGTTCCTGGTTTCCTGCGTTGTGCTCGCAGTGATCTGCCCGGCTGTGTGTTGAAGATGGTAAGCATTCCTTCTGTGTGCTGTAGATATCCTGCGAAGACCCTGGGGAGCCCTCAGGACTTCTGTCCCCCAGTGGGAACCATCCCTCAGGGCTCCAGCCCTTGTGAGGACCCTGTTCCCGGGGCACTGAGGCGGGGCCCTGGGCCCTGCAGGGCCTTCGAGGTCTAGGACTCTCCTTGGACTGGCAAGCACCTGAGGAGTCTCTGCATGTGCTCGGATCGATGATGACACCCCAATTACATTCCTTGGAGCTGAACAAAATGAGTGAAAACTCCTAAACCGTCATTCTCATCGTGACTGAGGTCCAGCACTTGGCCACATGTGGGGACTGCAGGAGCAGGGCTCCACGTCCGTCCTGTTGCTCGTGTCGCTTTCACCACTGAGGGGTTCATTGCTTATCAGGCCCTTGTCCCTTGTCCTTTGTCCTTGTGGCAGGGACACGTGGCAAGGTGAGTTTTCAGTTAGAGCCATCCGGAAAATACCTGTGTAAGGTCAGTGTTAAGAAAGGGATGGGCACCAGGCACTGGCTAGTTTCTCCCTACTCCCTGTTAGGTGGCATCATTGGTGCCTCCGAGTATGGGCACCGGGAAGGGTGCTGATGCTTCTTCCCAGGGCCAGGTCTTCATTCTTCTGGCAGAGGGCAGGTCTGGACTCGGACTTGGACATGGTTATGAGTTAGGCGACTGTGGACAGGGATTCGGCCGATAGCGCTGCGGAACAGGAATGGTGAGCAGACACAGGTGGCATCTTCAAAAACCAGTTTTGTGGAGCAAAACCCGTTCATTTTTTGGCTCACGTTGGACTGCTGGTAGCACACGGCCAACTCCATCTGAAACTTCAGGACACCTCACCTTCAGCCCGTGTGGCCAGGTGTTCTGAGAGCAGGTGTCATGAGAGAGCCCCACGCCGGTTCCCAGAGGGTGTCCTGGGTTTTTCTGTCCTGGCAGTCTACTGTTAGCCCTTTGGGTTCCCCTGGGAAATACCACACCTATTTTTGGTTGAGGGACAGTTTGGCCGCCACTGTACATTGCTAAAGGTCACAGAGCACTGTGTTCCAGGGCAGTCACCCTCTTGTCTTGTAAGCCGCGGTTCCTTGGCGTGTCCTCCGGGATCTGCCAGCCAGGCTGCAGTAGAAGTGTAGCTGTGTTCATGTGCACATGCTCAGGAGATGCCTGTGGGTGGCTGTCACTGTCCTGTGTCCCCGTCCTGTGGTTTGTGGGCCTGCCTATACCTGGGTGACATTGGCATGCAACTGAACCAGTCAGTGTTCAGCCTGCTGAATCTGAAGTCGCATGCCCGATAGGTTGGGCTCCCCATTTTCTAACCCTGGGCAATGCTGCGGAAAGTGTGGGTACAGGAAAAGCTCTCTCTTTTTCTTTCCCAAGATGTCCTGATGGACAGAGGTGTGAGGTGTCCCGGGCAGTGTGGAGATCTTGGGCCCTGTGGAGCAGCCATGTTGTGTCTGGTCAAGCTGTTGACCCAAAGCAGGTTCCAGTCACGGAGCCGCAGGCACATAGTCTGTGCTGCTGTGCTGTGTGTGTACACGTAGCAGGCACGAGGGCCCCACTGTGTCAGCTTTTGTGGGGGATGAAATTCTCCTCGGAGGCCCAATCAAGAAAGGTATTTGGTGGGAGTGACACAAAGGCCTACAAATCAATTTTCTGTCTCCCCGGACCACAGCAGCAGGCCTTTGGGCTAGGTTTGCATTGTTGAAGTCCACTGGGAGGACTTGGTATCTCCTGTTTCAGTGGTGGGGGTTTGTATGGTCTCATGGCAGGTCACACCCACACCACTGTGCTGAGACCCGAGTTCTTGCATGAGATGTCTGCGTTTGTGGCGTGGGGTACTATGGCTGCTGTTTATCTTTCGTGTTTGGTTCTGTCTGTCAAGGATTGAGTCTTGCCTGTGAAAGGGCACTTCTCCACCCTTGCTGCTTTCTGACACAGAGCAGGTTCGTTTAGTCACTGTGTGGCCCTGCCCTTGGTAACGTCCAGTGTACTGGGAACCCTTGGCCATGGTCGGTGTGCGGAGGAGGTTGGAGTTGGCATGCTGTTGGTCTAGGGCCCTGCTGTGGTATGGCTCTCCTGCCATTTCAGGGGCTGGCGCTGAGTCTGGCACTGAGCAAAGGCCAGTGGAGGGGCTCAGGGAATCTTAGTCAGAGAGAGACAACCCCACCCATAGTGGAGCCCAGCCACATCGAACCTACGTGCCCATGGATGGAAACACATGCATGCGAGTGGATGCTCCTGAGGGCACAGGGCAGGGTGGCATGGCATTGCTGACATGGCTGCCTTTCCCTGGACTCACGTGTTGGTTTTCTGTCTGCACTACACAGGGGGCATCGCCGTGGCGTGCATGTCTTCTGCTTCGTGGGCCTGGTTCCTCGGGCCTGGAGGAGCTGTGGAGTACTGTAAACCTCGTGTAGTGATCCCAGGGTGGGCAGTTGGTTGTGGCTGGTAAGCATTTCCTCCCGCTGCTTGTAGATGTTTTTGGGAAGACCTTGTGGAGACCTTAGGACCTCGGTCCATCCAGGCTGCAGACAGCCTGTGGGGGGTCAGTTTTTGCAGGGACAGGTTCCTGGGCACAGGGGGACAGCCCTGGGTCTTGCAAGACCTTCCGGCTCTTCTACTTGGAAGGCTTGCACAGTGCTCCTTGGACTGGGAAGCACCGGAGGCAGCCCTGCATGTGCATGGTTGATGGTAACACCCTGAAAAAGCTATACAAAGTGGGGTCCATTGCTCCCTCACGTGGTACTTTATGAGTGGGGTCCACATTGCCAGTTGAATTCTTCACACCAGGTAGGGATTCTCACGGCTCAGGGCCTTGGAATATATGCTCAGTAGAGAGTGAGCTTAGGTGAGACCTGGATTGAATGGACCGCAAGGTGGGCGTTGTACACACAGGTGAACTGACGGGCAGGCCTGGCCATGTTTCTCATGCACCCCCTTCTGGGCGCTGCAGTGCCTTCTTTGATGGGCATCGGTGAGCCCCACTCTGCTCAGGGAGAAGGCCTCACGGCCTGAGGGAGGGAGGGACCTCACAGCCCTTGTGAGGTCTGCTTCCTGCCGATTAGCCGGGTGTGGACAGCACCTCAGATGACTGTAAGAGCAGAATCGGAACCTCGGGCCCCACACAGCTTCTGGCTCCCCTTGCCAATGCCAGGGGCCAGCACATCAGCCTACAACTGTCTTTGAAAGTGGGGCCTCCAGCCAAAGTGTTGGGAAGCCCAGGGTGCTCTGACCTCAGTACTATCACAGCCTAACTCAGAGTGGGTTCCAGTACCCACCGCTCGCTGCCCCTCCATTCCCAACCCTGTGCCCACACGAGGGGCCTTGCGCTTCTCTGGTCACCGCAGTCTGTGGGTGGCGCTGGCTCCCCCAGGAAAACACCCAGGAGAGGCAGCCCTCTGTGTGCCCTGCGGCTCCCCCTGGTGGCCGCTGTCGGTTTCTGCCAAAGGTGGTCGAGCAGTGTCTCTGTTGCCTGTTGCTTTGCAGGAACAGATCCCTTGGTGGTGCCCTTCAAGGGCAGCCGTCCAAGCTGCATGTTGTCACAGTTGAAAAGTGTCGCTAGATAGCTCACTGAGCGGGTGATGCTAATTCATATCCCTGTCCTTGGGCTCTTTGCACACCTGGGCCTAGGTGACATTGGCTTTTGTCCAGCCAAGTCCGGAGCCGGTGGTTGGGCACCTCACTGTGTCTGCTGTGTGGTCACCTGTGGTGGGTTTGAACCTTAAAGGCCATGTGCACGTTGCTTTGGGGTGTTATGTCGTGTCTGTGAGCTGCAGGCATGATGGGGACCATTTTGTTACCTTTGTGGGTGAAGAAATTCTCCTGTATGGTACAGAGGACAAACGTGCTTGTGAGAGTGAGCCAGAGCCTGGAAAGTGATTGTGCTCCTTTCCCTGTGGTCAGCAGGCATGTGGTAGCTGCCTGTCATCACCAGAGACCACTGGGGACTTGCTCACAAGGCGCGAGCCTTCTCTGACTCAGTGGAAGGGGTTGCGTACATTTTGTGGGGGACCGGGATCCACTTCTGCCCCTGGGCCCGCATCTCTAGCAGACATGTCTGAATTCTCAGCCCAGGATTCTCTGACTGGCACTTTGGGCTTTCATTTCCAGAAGTCTGAAAGGGCTGATCTGGTCTCATCCTTGTGTGGCATCCCACTCAGTTCTGCTGTGAACATTCACAGCTCCTAGGTGCACTTCCAGTAGTCTCGGGGTTCTCCCAGAAGAGTTGCCCTTTGAAGTGGGAGAAGGTGGCCTTGTCTGTCATCCGGGGGTGGCCGGACATGGCTTTTAGGGGTGGGGACCCTGGGTGTGCTGTTGCGGTAAGGCAAAAGCCGGGACCAGGCCGTGGGCTCCAGCCTGTACCTTTGGTGTTGGGGAAGTCACCCTGCTGCCCTGAGCCAGAGGCAGGAAACACACACTCCAGGGAAGCCCACACCGCAGCTGTCCAGGTGCACAGGGAAGCAGAGGTGCTCCTACCGGAGGGAAGCTCCTGTGGTGTCGCAGGAAGGACGAGTGAATGACTGCGCAGAACAGGGTCGGGGTGTGGGGTCCGTGGGGCGGTTGCCTTCCTCCCCTCCATGTGATGCTTTTGTCTCCATTGCTCAGTCCCTGGCCGGGAGGCTGGCCGTTGCCTGCGTGGGCCTGCTCCCTCAGGTTGGCGGTTGCCAGGAAGTTGCTGCGGGCCCCCGTCCTGCCGCTGAGCTCTGCACCTCTGGATGCTGCGGATGGTAAGCCTTTATCTCTTCCAGCCAGCGACCTCATAGCTTTGCCAGGACCTGGGTCTCCGTGGGCCGGGCCGAGCCTGTTTGTCATCAGGGGTGCTTTTCTGGATCGATGATGAGAAAACTTGTCTGAGGACGCTGAGGGACTAATTACAGATGGCAATCTGAGGTCCAGATGGTGGCACTCTAGTAGGACAGTGGGACTCTCCAGGCCTGGCTTGCCTTGGCCATGGATCCATGGCGTGTGACCGCAGTCCGAGCCTGCGTTTCCTTTCTCTCAGAGCAGGGCGTTACTTTTATGGTGGGGGTTTTCTGAGTCTGTGTCTCTTCTGTTTTGTTTTGTTGAGGTGGAGGAGGCCTGGACTGGGATTCTCCGTGTCAGCGCACTCAGGTGAGCAGCTGGGCAGCGCCGTCCCTTGAAGCCCGTACGTCCTGTGTTCCGGCCACATTTGGAGGGGTGTGTTTGTTCTTTTGGAGGCTTTCTGAGGAAGAGCGACATAAAACTGTGTTCACTGGTGGATGTCTCCATCCTCGTTTGTGAATCAGTGCCTGTCATCATTTTATTTTATCTGATTTCTGTATGGGATGACGGGTGTAGAATCTCAAACATTTCTCTGTCCCCTCGTACATGAAATATGTTTTAAGGGTTGTTCTAAGGATCATTGTGGTTAAAGCATGTTGACCTTACGGCTAGGATTATTATAAAATCACGTTGGGAAGATGTGTAAGATTATTACAAATCATTATTGGTATGCTTCCCTCATGGAGATTTTAATTTATATTTTCTTCAAATGGAAAATTGATGAACTTTATGAGCCTTTTTGAAGGCTGTAAAGATTATAACTGACAATCATGCACGAAGCACTTCACTGGGGAAAGCACGAGCTTCATTTCCATTCTGCTGGGGCCACAAATAATTTACAAATAATCAGTCAAGTGGAGTAATAATGGAATTTCATACATGGAACCGTTACCTGTTGTTGTTAAAGTAGAAACACATAATAGTACGAAAACTTTTTGTGTTTTATTCAAAATAATTATATAAATTTTTTTTCCTGGGACATTTAGTGATGTACAGTTTTTTAGGAATAGGTAAAATTTTTTTTCTTCTGACAAACATCACAGATTTTTCAAATAGTAATTAAAACCAATTTTCTGTTAACTCCTTGCCCTCATGACCAGGAGGCCTGTGGGGTCTGGTTGGCATTGCCTGGGTCCACTGGGGATGTCTCCTCTCTACTTCAATGAAGGGAGACCGTGTCTTTCTTGTGGTGCGCTGGGCCCATGCTGTGCCCTCAGAGCAGCGTCTCTGCCGTAGGTGTCTGCATCAGTGGCTCGAGGTTCTCCTGTTCGTGGCCATCATTTTGCCTTGTATATTTGGTTTTCCTCTTGGGGGGAGTAAGGTTGAAGTCTTACCCTTAAGAGTTCACTGCAACCCTGTCCTCTGTCCCTCCTTCAGAGGACGCACTTCCACTCAGTGTGCAGGACCTCCCCTGCAGGTCTCTTTTGCACAGGACACCAGGGCCCTGACTGGTGTGCTCAAGGAGTGACCTTGTTATGCTGCTGCTCCAGGGCCCTTGGTGTGCTGCTGGTCGTGGGAGGGGCCCAGGCCAGGTGTCACGCCCAGAGAATCACTGCCGCAGATCTTGGCCAGAGAGAGGCGAAAACATACCCAGCCAAGCATACGTGACTTGCATCCTGTGCATACATGGAAGGTGACACGCTCACACACATGAGAAGATCTGAGGGGTCTGACAGCAGGAACACATGGCAGAGTGAGGGCACAGGCTGGCATGGTATGGGAAAGAGAAACGGGTGCCTTCCCCTGCGTCACGGGTGGTTTTTCCCTTCTGTGCCACTCAGGGTGCCATGGAGGGTGTGACCTCAGCTGCATAATCCTGTTTCCTGCGCACCAGAGAAGCTTGGGGCTCTGCAAGCCGCTGTCCTCTCGAAGAGCCCTCAGCCTGTGGGATGGTGAGGATGGTAAGCTTTTCCTGCCATGGCCGCGGCCCAAGCTGTGAATGGCATGGCTTTCATTCCTTGCATGCTTGGCATTTTGGGGGCATGAGCAGGGCCTTTGAGCTCTTCTAGTTGGAGGTCTTGCCCAGTGTCCCACGTGGACTGGAGGCACCTGAGGCATCTCTGCATGTGCTCGGATCGATGATGATGCCCCAAAAAACATTCCTTGGAAAAGCTGAACAAAATGAGTGAGAGCTCTAATCCGTCACTCTCGTCGTGACTGAGGTCCAGCACACTGCCTCACACGGGGACCGCAGGAGCAGGGCTCCACGTCCTCGGGCTCACGGTCCTCAGACAGCGCAGGGGCGTCACGGGTCAGCTCCCTCTTAAGGTTCCTCAGGAACACGTGCTCAGTGGGGTGGACCCAGCGAGGCCACACGTGTGTTGAGAGACCCACACCTGCATGTAGGTGAGGGGACATCGGGGAGGCCTTGCAGAGCTTCCCTCTGTCCTGCTCCTGGGTGGCGATTGGCAGGCCCTGGTGAGCCTGGCCTCAGCTCAGGCCGCTCCCTCGTGTCCTGGGACAAGGTGAGCCAGGCTTCGGGAGAAGGCAGTGCTTAGTTTGATGGTTTATGTGGAACGGGAAGCAGTGACTACTCACGGGGCGGCTCCTCAGCACCAGTCCTTGGGAGAGAAAGCCGTGCCCCTCTGGGCTCACCTGTAGCCTTGATGCCAGGAATTACAGGAAAGCTTGTCATCATCGGGGACTGCGGCCAGTGATCCCAGAGCACGCGTCGTGGCGAGCTTGTGCTCACCTCGCTCTCTTCACGTGGCCCGGTTCTGCCCTCTCCCCTGCACCACCAGAAGGTGCTCTTGATTTTTCTTTTTTTTTTTTTATTTAAAGAGAAACAAACAAACAAAAAACAAGAAAAAAGGGTAGAAATAATACAGAATTACAGAAAAATAAACAGTAAGAAATCACTGGTTGATAAGTTACCTATGGTCATCTTAGAAATAGTTGTTCAGGTTACAAAATTAAAGCATAACAAAGTGACATTCAGATAGTGACACTGCCAACAGTTCTGCTCAGTGATCCAACATAAACTTAGTAATATGGTTATCAGTCCTACACACTTGTTTTTTATCTTAAAGAGGGTAAGATTAAACATACCAAAACAGAACAAAACAGTTCATAAAGAAATAAGTTAAAGAAATACAGATTTCAAAGCAAATCCACTGGAAATGTTCACTGTGTATCTTATTGTCTCTAGTTTTCTTCCAAATAGTTGTCCCCATCTTTATACACATTGAATACATACCGAGCATTATAGAACTAATCTAATCACAACAGGATGATGAAGGCTTTTAGGTCTTCAAGACCTGACATTGGGGAAGTCAATAATGACTATCATACTGTCTCTCATTCTCTTCGTAGTAGCTGTCCTTATCTTTACGTATGCTGAAATTGAACATAACAGACTAGACTAATACCAGTCTGAACAGTGAATGATAGTAATGCTAGATTTTATATTTAGCACTGGGTTTCTTAGTGTCTTTTCGTCTCCACACTCAGGGGAGCTGCCCTGCACGCATGCCTTCTGCTGAGGTTCCTGCTCCTGGGCACCAGAGGACTTCCAAGGGCTGCAGGCCTGTGTCCTCCCTCCCGACGAGCTGCGGGCCTGTGGATGGTTCAGGACGGTAAGGGTTCTCCTTGGCAGTCGTGGATGTGTTGGTAAAGATGTCTGAATGCCAGGACCTCTGTCCTCGCAGGCCGGAACGGCCCGTGGCTGTCACACGTGATGACCGTTCTCTTGGGGCACAGAGGCGGGCCCTGGGTCTTGCAGGGCCTTCGAGCTCTTCTAGTTGGGGAGCTTGCTGTGTCCCCCATAGATTGGAGGCTCCTGAGGCGTCTCTGCATGTGCTCGGATCGATGATGATGCCCCAAAAAACATTCCTTGGAAAAGCTGAACAAAATGAGTGAGAGCTCTAATCCGTCACTCTCGTCGTGACTGAGGTCCAGCACACTGCCTCACACGGGGACCGCAGGAGCAGGGCTCCCCGTCCTCGGGCTCACGGTCCTCAGACAGTGCAGGGGCGTCACGGGTCTGCCTCCAGGCAGGAGAGGAGCCTTTCTGAAAGCTGGGCAGCCCCTGCCCTGTCTGTCCCCCTGCATTGTCTCGGAGGTGGGGAGGGCGGTGCCTCCGCCTTTTGGCTCTGTGCATTCTGCTCCCCTCTCTCTGCCCTGCCTGCCAGCTTTTCCTCCGGGCGTTTGGTGCAAGTCCCAGGGCTCCTTGGTGCCTTCCTGTGTGTGTTTATTTCTTTTTCTTCTCTACTCTTGTCCTTAGACTGGTGTGAGGGCACCCTCTCTGGTAAGGTTTTAGCTCCTTCTACCTAGAGTTAGTTATGAAACTAATGAGGCCCCTGCCCTCTCCTCTGTGTGCCTGTGGACGCCTGCTCCTGTGTTCCCAGCCTGATGTGCGGATCTGTCTGTCTGTCTGTCCTCCTCAGGGCGAGTGGCCAGTGCAGCCCCGGTCAGCTCCTGTGCCGCATCCCCCCTGGTGGTGCCAGGCCATTGCTGCAAACCTTGTGTCCTGAGAGGCCGCTCCACACCTGTGGACGGATGAGCGCGGTGAGTGCTTGTGTCTGTGCGGAGTGGATGTTGTCCTGAGGACCTCATAGTGTCACCACAACCTCTGTCTCCCTGGGCCAGCCGTGGCCTATGGGGCTTCCCGCCTCATGTGGCTGTGTCTTCCCAGACACGGTGTCCAGGCTGTGGTCCTGCAGGGCCTTCGAGGTCTTCCAGTTAGACCACACACATGGCTGTGGCATCTTTGAATGTGCTCGGATCGATGATGACACCCCAATTACATTCCTTGGAGCTGAACAAAATGAGTGAAAACTCCTAAACCGTCATTCTCATCGTGACTGAGGTCCAGCACGTGGCCGCACACAGGGAAGGCAGGAGCAGGCCTCCACTTGAGATGCGCACACAGCCTTCCCACTCAGGGTTCGTCCCTGTCCAGCCCCCGCCCCAGGCCCTCGGGAGCATGTCCTCCCTGGGGTGGGCCTGGGTTAATGAGATGCTTGTGTGTGTTCAGTGTTTTTGAGGAACAGGACTGGATACTCGGCAGGTTTCTTCTTCATCCCTGTTCGTGTGATAGAGTCTGCATGTCCAGCTGGTGGGCGTTGGCTTCTAGGCTGCGCTCAAGGCCCAGGATTCATCTTGTGGCAGAGGATGAGGCCAGCGCTTGTGGAGAATGGGTTTTGTCTATGACTTAGGTGACTCTGGACAGGGCCTCAGTAAACGGTAGACCAGGCACTGGCACCTTGGAGCAGAGGTGCTCGCTGGTGCTGTTCTGGGAAGCAGAGAGCTTTTGCCACTGGGCCACCTGTGACAGGTGATGGCCTTTGCTTCGGGCTCTTTACCAGGGAATCCTCGTGGAGAGAATGTGTGGCGCTCACGTCACCTGCTAGGGTGATTCCTCCCCCAAATCCTGCCCCAGAGAGCGTGCCCTCGGTTCCCTACCCATGGAACTCTGTTGTCGGCCTTTTGGCTTCTCCTGGAAGTGTCTGGCTGGGTTCAAGGTGGACGTGGCCTAGACCTTGCCCAGGTCATGGGCATTTTTTGCTAAAGGTCACAGAGCACCGTGTTCCAGAACTGCCTTCCAGTTGTCTCGCTGTGATTTTCAGTGCGAGGCCTCTAAGCTGGATGTTTTCAGCAGTGGAATTGTGTGTGTGTGTGTGTGTGTGTGTGTGTGTGTGTCTGTATGTGTTTTAAAGAGAATAAAACCAAACAAAATGAAACAGAATAGAGCCACACAAAACAAAGCAAAACAGTGAAAGTGATATAGGACTTCAAAACAGGATAACGGGAAATCAAGAGTGCTTCCCATTATGCTTTTGTTGTCTTCAAAACTGCTGCCCACACCATCAGACAACAAAATCAAACAAAGCAGCACAGAGTAAAACCAATCAAAACAGAACATTGAAGAAAACAGAACAATAAAGTGGAATAAAGCATATCAGTGAGAACAACATTGGATTTCAAAAATAAGACAGAAGGGGATCCTCCAGTTTCTGTGTTGCATATTGTTATCCTCTAAACAGATGCTCAGACTACCGGCTTTAGGTGTGTGAAGTCAACCAAGCAATACAAGCGTGCCGTTGTTTCTGTGCCTTGTTGCTGTCAGCTCAGCCGTGTCCCTGTGAATCAGCTGGTGGCGTGGTGAGGGCTCGGCTCCTCTCTTTCCAGCCCGCATGGTTCGTGGAAATGCGAGTTGGCTTCCTGTGTTACCTCCTGGCCCATGGCTGCTGCTGGCTCTTGGGAAGGGTGAACTGTGTTGTATTGTTGTTGTTTTTGTGATGGGGTGTCTCTGTTCAGTTAGGACTGGCCTTGAATTCAGGGTGGCCTGAAGCTCATGGTGCTGCTCCTGCCGCAGCGCTGGTATGACAGGCATGCGCCTCCATGCCCGGCCTGTGTCTGTGTCCTTTTGCTCTGTCTGCCAGTCTCTCAAAGGGGCTGCCACTCCCTTATGCCTTGGTCTCGAGCCGTGGTTGCTTACTTGGGTGAGGATGGCATTGGGTTTTGCCCAGGGTGTGCTCTGCTGAGCACTCTGTCCCTGAAGTCTCGACCCCACTGATTGGGCTCCTTATTTGGTGATGTCACCGGCTGTGAGCACTGTTGGGGGAGTATGGCCCTTCCCCACTTGTTCAAGTCCTGCTCGATGGAGTGCTTAACACCTCCTAGAGTGGATGTAGTGTGTGGACACCCGCAGTGGGACCCAGTGTCTGGCAGTGTGGTCCCCAAGAGGCGGTTTGAGCCTTCGATGTCACAGGCACTAGTATTTGGAGTATTGCAGAATGTCTGTGGGCCACAGGCCAGAGGGCTGCACTGTGTCAGACTTTGTGGTTGATAAAATTCTCCTCAGAGGTCCAAACAACAGTTGTGCTTGTTGTAGGTGAGGCCAGGGCCTGGAGAGCGATTTCTGTCTTCCCACTGGGGGCATCATGATGAGAGGCCACCGTCCTGAGCTCCAGTCAGTACAGAGCTTGGCTTGTGTTTCGTTGCTTGTGTTGTTAGGTCAAGCTTGGGTTGTTAGAGCTGTGCATGGCAGACAAGTCTCTGTGACCTGCGGTTCCCGGCAGGATGCTGTTCTCTGCTTTGCTTCTTAGGTATTCTTTCTCTGGACAAGGAGCTGGGGTCAAGTCTCACCCTTGCAGGGCACCCCAACCCACCCACCTGATCGCCTCCAGGGGTCCCGGCAGCCTCCTCAGTGAGCTTGTGTCTCCTCCAGCCATGGTGTCCCGGGCAGGGGAGGGATGGCTTGGCATAGGTGGAGGCCCTTTGTGAGCTGTTTCAGTGAGGCCCGGCCTGAGCCTGCGTTCTGGTGTTCAGGATGTGTCTGGAGAGGACCAGGTGAATCACGGCCCTGCGTCTTAGCCAGTGGAGGAAACTCAGATTGCAGGGACGGCACAGCATGGGGGTCTGGTGCGTGCCCCAAAGGGAGGGATGATTACATGTGGGAAACTCCTGAGGCATCAAAGGAAGGACACACAGAAGATGGGGAGATAACGGAGGTCAGGGTACCAGGGACCTGTGAAGTGGACGCTTTTCTTTCCCTCATGTGCAGGTTTTTCATTTCACTCCTCAGGGCGAGTGGCCAGTGCAGCCCCGGTCAGCTCCTGTGCCGCATCCCCCCTGGTGGTGCCAGGCCATTGCTGCAAGCCTCGTGTCCTGAGAGCCCGCTCCACACCTGTGGACGGATGAGCGCGGTGAGTGCTTGTGTCTGTGTGGGGTGGATGTTGTCCTGAGGACCTCATAGTGTCACCACAACCTCTGTCTCCCTGGGCCAGCCGTGGCCTATGGGGCTTCCCGCCTCGTGTGGCTGTGTCTTCCCAGACACGGTGTCCAGGCTGTGGTCCTGCAGGGCCTTCGAGGTCTTCCAGTTAGACCACACACATGGCTGTGGCATCTTTGAATGTGCTCGGATCGATGATGACACCCCAATTACATTCCTTGGAGCTGAACAAAATGAGTGAAAACTCCTAAACCGTCATTCTCATCGTGACTGAGGTCCAGCACTTGGCCGCACACAGGGAGGCAGGAGCAGGCCTCCACTTGAGATGCGCACACAGCCTTCCCACTCAGGGGTTCGTCCCTGTCCAGCCCCCGCCCCAGGCCCTCAGGAGCATGTCCTCCCTGGGGTGACCCGGCTAGGCGAGGTTCGGGTTTCAGTGACCCCTGAGCTCTGGTCGGCATTCTGGAGCAGAAGGGTGCTGAAGGCTCGGTGACTTTCCCCCAGGCCTCGGGGTGGGTGGCGCAGTTAGTGCCTCTGATCGGCAGGGTTGGCAGCCTCACTGTGCTCTGGGCCGGTCCTCATTGTCCTGGGATCGGGCGAGGTCCTCCTGGAGCAGAAGGTGGTTCTGTCTGAGTGAGCTGACGTGCACAGGGGCCAGGCGGATGGAGTGTGTGGAAAGGCAGCTGCTGTCCACCGCCAGTCTTCCTGGTGAGATCTCCTCCCTCTGGGCTCAGCTTTGCCTGGTGACGGAGAGACAGCGCAAGTGTTGGGAATGAGGGAAGCCTTGAGCCTGGGCCCTGTGCCCAGGGAATTGCAGAGCAGCTGTCATGAGACTGGGGCTCTCATCCCCATCCTCCAGTCCTGCCCTGGAGAAGTGCCCTGTGTTTTCTCTCCGTGGCAGGCTGTTTGGCCTCTTGACTTCCCCTGGGAAATGTCTGGTTGGATTTGAGTGTAGATATGGGCTGGACCTCTCCTTGGTGGTACCAGTTTTCTGCTGAAGGCCGCCGAGCACCACGATTGTCTTCCCATTACCTCGCAGAACAGGTTCTTAGTGTGCTGTCTGGGCCTGCCCGGTCTGGCCATGCTGCTCAGTGCAGGCCGGTTTGCAATGTGCGTGCCACGTGAGGCTCGTCTCGTGGCGTTTCATCTGTGCATGGCAGGTACCATTGTGTCCAGCTTGTGGTTGATGAAATTCTCCCTGGAGCTCCAGTGGAGACAGGTGTTTGGTGTCAGTGAGGCATGATGGCTCTGGAATTCTGTTTCCACCTTCCTGTGTGGGCAGCTGCACTGAGGGACCTGGACCTGGGTGGTATCACTGTATCCACTGTGGACATACCGATGCAATGCCAGGGAACCATTTTCAGGGATAGAGGATCGTTACTTTTTATGGGGGCCAGGTCCACGCCATGGCTTATGGACCAGCCTCCCTAGCACAGATGTCCCTGTTGGAGGCTGGGGACTGTCCAGCTTGTGGCTACTGTTTCTCTTCCATGTTCGGTTTTTCCTTTGGAGGAATCAGGGTTCTATTCTCACCCGTGAGCACCCAACACAGTGAACCCCTCCCGCTCCGTCAGAGGTGGTGCATGCGTGTTGTCCCCAGGGCCCCTTTCCACCTTCTGTCATGGCCTCGAGCCGGGAATGTGCACCCCTGAGCGGTGTGCAGAAGCTATTGGAGTTGGCATCCGTGGATGGTACCCCTCAGTGTCTTTTGTGGCGTGGCGTGGGGAATGTCCTGGTCTGGTCTCTGGTGCAGGGCGGGCCTGATGAGATGTCTAGTGAATCCCTCCGTGGGCCCTCAGCCAGGCCAGGCAGACACCTATGCAGTCAAGCAGAGACACATTCACCTCGTGGTCCGTGGAAGGAAACAGAAGCTTCCCCATGGGATGGTCTTGAGGTAACTCAGAAAGGCCAGGCAGGCGAGAGTGAGGCACAGGCTGGGGTGCACAGTGAGACTGACTGTGTTCCCCATCCTCACATGTGGGTTTTCTGTGTCCACTACGCAGGGGGAGTTGGCCTGGCGTGCCTGCCTTCAGCTGTGCCTGCCTGGCTCCTGAGGACCAGAAGCGCTGTGGAATCCTGCGAGCCTTGTGTCCACCCAGTGAGCCCCTTCTGGTGTGTGATTAAGGGTGGTAAGCGTTTCCCTCTGCAGCCTGTGGTAGTCTTTGTGTGGACTTGGTAGAGCCCCCTCACCTCTGTCCCTTGAGACATCATCGCATGATATAATCTGTGGAGACCCAGGAAAGGACCTGCTGTGTCTGGCCAAGTGGTTCCCATTAGGCGGATTTGAGCCTTAGAGGCCACATGCACATAGTTTTGGAGTGTGGTATTATGCCTGTGGCCTGCAGTACTGACCGTGCCAGTTTGTCGGGCCTCATGGGTGAAGAAATCATCCTCCAAGGTCCACAGATCTAGCATGCTTGTCATGGTGCTGGCCAGCACCTGAACGTGATTTCCCAGGAATGTCCTGTAGCAACCAGTGGCCCCTACCTCGGTGGCAAGGCATGCCTCCATTCTGTAGTGTGTCGGGCCCTATGTGTGTGGTTAGAACAGCCTCCCTGACAAATATGTCTGTGTTTGTGTCCTGAGATTCTCTGTCTGGTGCTTCTTTCCAGGAAGAGGAGAGAGGGGTCAAGTCTCACCCTTGTAGGGCACCCCACTCAGTCACCCCAGCCACCTTTCAGAGGTCGTGCTCGGTTGTCCAGTGAGCCTGTAATCCTTCCAGCAGTGCTGGCCTCTGAGGCTCGATAGTGTCTCACTTCCCTGTCCCCAGGGGGTCTGAGGTGGCATTCTGTAGATCGAGCCCCTGGCATAGTGCTGGAGTGAGACAGGCTGGGGCTGGTTGTGGCATGCAATTTTTGCCTGGGGAGGGCCTGAGGGAGTCACTGCCCTGTGACCTGTCCAGAGACAGGGAGCGTGCACACACATACAGCCATATAGACATACACATACACAGATACACAGACACACACGCAGACATACACGCACACACAGGGAAGCCCACACCACCTCTGTCGTGTACATGCTTGGAAACAAATTTTCCCCTACATACGGGAGGCTCCTGAAGTGTGACAAGAAGGAGCAGAACAAGCGAGTGATAAAGTTGGAGCTCGGGCCAGGGCAGCGTGGGACCGTTGCTGGGCTGGCTTTCTCTCCAACATGCACTGTGTTTTTTCTTCTCTGCTGCTCAGGGCGTTGTCAGGGGCGCCGGCTGCCAGCTGCCTGTGCTTGGAACCTCAGTCCCAGAGCAACGAGAAGCTGCTGCATATCTTTGTATTCTGCTAATGAGCTCTCTGAATGTCTGAGGAAGGTAAGGATCTCTTCTTGCAAGGAGCAGATGTTGTCTCCAGGACCTGACAAGTTCACCAGGCCCTCCGTTGCCTCTGGCTGGAAATGGTCTATGAAGGTTCCTGAGGCATAGCAGTTAGGCCTGGGGTCCTACAGGGCCTTCTACTTTGACCAGAAAACATTCCTCTTTGACTTCTTGAGTGTGTACAGATCAATGATGACACCCAAAGTACATTCCTTGGAGCTGACCAAAATGATGAGAACTCTAAACTGTCCTCGTCGTGACAGGTCCAGCACGCTGTCACATGTCTCAGGGTTCCACTTGGAGATACATTTCTTTTGCTGCCCAGGGATTCATGGCTGGTCAGCTGCTTGCTTCCAGAAGCCTAATGGTCAGGTTTGCAGTGGCTGGACCTGGCTAGGTGGATCCTGTGCGGAAGCTTGTGCTCAGTTTTGTCAAACGGATGGGTGCTAACGACTTGGCAAGTTCACCATAGTGCTTCTTTGAGCTGTGTTGGTAGTGCCGTCTCTGGTTTTGTGAGTGCTTGCGAGCTCTGACTGCTCAGAGCAGGCCAGGCTCCTATGTTTTCCTGCTGAGGAAAGAGGGTTCAAGTCATATCCATGAATGTTCCTTCCTCCCAGTCAGCATGCACCCTGCCACCCCTTCAGAGGCGGTGTGGGTCCATTCAATGAAAGTTGGGCCCCTCCGTTGGTGGTGTCCTTGGGCTGACAGTGTATAGAACTGATCTGTGTGCCAAGCAGGTAGGAATTGGCGTGTAGAATAGTTTAGGACCCTTGATGTGTGGCTGTGGCATAGTACAAGGTGGGCCCTGGTCTTGGGGTGCAGTGAGGCCAGGGAATGGACCGGGGAATCCTTCCCCAATGTCCTAGGCAGAGGCAGCAGACACACACACACACACACACACACACACACACACACACACAGAGTCTGGGCAGCCACCATACTCCTTTGAACAAGAAAGACCCAGGACTCATACAGGTGGGAAGCGTCTCAGGGATCCCATGAGGAAAGGCAGAATGCCTGAGCGCCCAGGCCAGGCAGCGTGGGATCGGGGAAACGGATGCCCTTCCTGACCTCACACGTGCTCTCCATCTCCACACTCAGGGGAGCTGCCCTGCGCGCACGCCTTCTGCTGAGGTTCCTGCTCCTGGGCACCAGAGGACCTCCGAGGGCTGCAGGCCTGTGTCCTCCCTCCCGACGAGCTGCGGGCCTGTGGACGGTTCAGGACGGTAAGGGTTCTCCTTGGCAGTCGTGGATGTGTTGGTAAAGATGTCTGAATGCCAGGACCTCTGTCCTCGCAGGCCGGAACGGCCCGTGGCTGTCACACGTGATGACCGTTCTCTTGGGGCACAGAGGCGAGCCCTGGGTCTTGAGGGCTTTCGAGATCTTCTAGTTGGGGAGCTTGCTGTGTCCCCCATGGACTGGAGGCTCCTGAGGCATCTCTGCATGTGCTCGGATCGATGATGATGCCCCAAAAAACATTCCTTGGAAAAGCTGAACAAAATGAGTGAGAGCTCTAATCCGTCGCTCTGGTCGTGCCTGAGGTCCAGCACACTGCCTCACACGGGGACCGCAGGAGCAGGGCTCCACATCCTCAGGCTCTCGGTCCTCAGACAGTGCAGGGGTGTCACGGGTCAGCCTCTTGTCCGTGAGGCCTTCGGAACATGTGCTAAGTCAGCAGAGACGAGACAAGCACAGCTGGGTTGAGTAGATCCTTGTCTCTGTGTTGTTCACGTAGCTGAGTTTCTCCTTACGTCCCTTTGGGCTTAGTGATGCCCCTTGTTCCCATGATAGACTGTCTGAAGTCCATCTACAGTCACAGAGGACTTTCTTGGTTGACCCGTGGCATGTGCACCAATGCTGTCCTTCGGTATCCCACCCTCAGGCAAGCCGACAGAAGAGTCTAACCCCAGCTTGGAGGCTGCTCATGGCTGCCGTGTAACAGGCGAGAAAGCTCAGACACGCCCAGTGCTGCACAGATGCTCTGGTGATAGGAAGAGGAAGGCACATTGTCAGCCAGGCCCTGTCCAGCAGTCAGAGAGCAGAAGCTCACCCCTTAGTGGGCTGGCCTTTGACACTGCCCAAGGGAATGCAGAACTAGTTCTGGGCACAGTGGAGGGTGGTCAGCGCCCACCAGTCAGAGGCACTCCACAGCCCAGAGCAGGCCTAGGCACACACGGAGAATTAGTAAATTTTCCTTATCCACCCAGAGGAGCCACCTCCACCATTCCCATGTAGGTGCTCCCTTTCCAGGGTAGATGAGGGCACGAACCCCACCAGGAGCTCTGTGGGAGCTCTCCAAGCAGGCTCATGCCGTGGCCCCAGTCAAGGTTCCTGCAGCTGCCAATGTTTGTACCACCACCAAGCAGTGGGGCAGCCAGAAGTGAGGGGTTCTTCCTCCCAGGACCAGCACTGCCGAGCCACCCCTGCATTGGGTCCCCACTTCCTCTGACACATTCCCCGTCCATCTCCCAGGCCCGTCCACAGGCAGCTACCTCAGACGGAACCACCTTCTGCTCAGGGGCTGGTCTGACACTGTCCAGGAGGAAGAGGACCTGCCTGGAGCAGAGTCAGGTTTTGCCAGGGCCCACGAACCGTAGGCACTGACCGCACCACCAAACAGGAGGTCAGAGGAAACCTCCAAGTCGTCAGCACCCATTGCTTCCACAAAACTCACCTCACATGAGCACTTCAGGTATTGCTTCAGCCACAGACTTGCTGAGCGGGGCCCACCTAATGCCCATGGGGGCAGGGACATCTTCTGATGGATTCTGGATGGCAAAGGAAACGTGGGCATCTGAGAGTGGAGCCCTCCTCCCTCAGTCCCTGTGTGTAGCGGGGTGCTGGACCTCAGGCCTGCTGGGAATGATGGCTTAGTGTTCGCACCATTTTATTCAGCTCCAGGGAATGCAGCTGGGGTGTCATTGTTGACCCGTGCACACTCAAGGATGCCAGCATGTCTTCCACTCACACCACAAGATGATGGAGGCCCTGGAGGCTCCCGAGCCTCACCACCATTCTCCAGGGACACATAGTTCACACAAGGCGTGAAACCCCACAGGCCATTTCCAGCCAGTGCAGCTTCAGGTATTAGTGACAGCACAAGGCCCTAAGGACAGCATCGATTCCTTGCACTAAGAAATGCTTGCAGTCCATAACCGTAAGCGTTCACAGAGTTTCACCAGCATGTGAGACTTGTGGGGATTCTCTGGCACCACCAGGACCAAGGGTCCAGGCTCACAAAGCTGATGGCCAGTCACCCATGGCAACCCCTCGAGAGCAGAAATAGAGAACACCATCGGTGATGTGGAGAGAGGCATACAGAAGGACGCTATAGGTGCGGATTCCGTGGGTCACCCGAGAAACTCTCCTGTGAGCACCCATGGGTGTTCAGATATTTGACCACTGGGTCAGTGTTCTGTGGCGTAGTGAGGTGTGTCCTGTGAGCAAACACCGCTCGCGCATGTGTGTGTCTGCCTAGACTGTGCAAGGGCCAGCTGAGGCACATACACCTTACAGAGCGACTAAGGGGGCGTTGGCTGGATAGAATTATCTATCTGCTTTTCTCAAGCATGCTGTGTCTCTTCTGCAGCTTTCCGGTGGCATTGCCAGGTGATGGATTCCAGAGGACTAGAAGGAAGACTTCCATATTCTGGGACCCAAAGAAAGGTTAGCATGCCCCAGGACACCTGTGAAGAGGCTTCTTTTGGTTAATGGTGGACAGCCGATGATGGTAAACAGCCCCGCGAGTAAACATATTTTCCCAATTCCTAGGCCCCAAGAATGTGCCTGGATCGATGATGACACTCATAAATGCATTCCTTGGAAAGCTGAACAAAATGAGTGAAAAACCTATACCGTCATTCTCATCGAACTGAGGTCCAGCACACTTCTCCAGCAGGGGCCAGAGAGATGAGGGGTTGGGGTGAAACCACTGGCAGTGACTGCCCCTGGAGTGGTGGTCAGCCGGGCCAGCAGCAGGACACGGCCCTTCTTAGGCCTTCTCATCAGAATGACTTGGGAGCTGTCTCTGGTATCTGGTCTCATGGCCACTGATGGTCAGCAATGGTGTGGGGTCCCCAGCTGTTTGCTTTGATTGCCGCAGCACTTTGTGAGATCTGGTGTGTCTAGCTCTTCTGCTTGTCATGAGCCAGCCGTCAGCAGGTCCAAAGCTTTGAGCCTGGCGGTAGCCCTTACTAACAGCAGAGCAGAGAGGGACACTGGAGGGAGAGGAGCGTGGTCCTGTGTAGTCCTGTACCTGTAGCCATCTGCGGCCTGCAGGTTCCCCAGTGAGGGGCACTTCCTCGTGTGGAAGGCAGGCTCCACCAGTGTTTCTTCGTCACACTGCAGGTGAGGGGAGCAGGGCTTTGATTAGGGGGTCTAGATTCTGGCACTTCAGAGTGATGGTGATTTCCATGACCTGTCACAAACATATCAAAGCAACAACTAGAAACAGGTATTTCTGGAGGAGTTAGCGTAGCTGTCAGCCTGCTTCTTTATTGCTGTTCTGTTTGCTGAGTCTTGGTTCTGCGCTCTTTTGTCCCCTAGAAGGAGACAAAATTGGTTGTTGAAACAGGAGCCTGATTCAGGCCTTGGCATTGGCTTGGCTCCTTCTGTGGGTCTGTCTAGGGGATTGCAGTCGCCAGGGCAGGGGATCACAGCCGATGGACACATGTTGTCAGAGCGTGACCTTTGGAATTTGGTCCCTGCGGAAAGACTGAGAACGAATGTGGTGGCGATGCTGTGGGGAGTGTGAAATGTGTGGCCAGCCGACACAGCGCAGGCGGAGAAGGATGGTGGATGGTGTACTGAGCGTTTGTTTTGTGGCCACCTTTCAAAGTGATTCTGTGAGAGATGCTTCCAACGGCTGTCCCAGGGAGGTAGGCCCGCAGCAGAGGTTGGCCAGTCATGCTCCTGGAACTCCTGTGTGTCACCCTAACAGTCGTAGGCTGCAGGGCGTCTGTTGCCCATTGTGCTCCAGGAGTCAGCATCCCTGCCCTGCGAGGTTAGATACAGTTTGTAGCTGAAGACGAAAAGCCGACACACACCTGATTTGTGCAGCCCATGATACAGGAGGGATAAACTTACACACTGCGACTGTTCTCTGATGACTGTCACTGGATGTGTACATCAGCTTTCCGCTGGACACTGGCTGACAGAGGGTGTTTGAGAAGAGGCGAAATGGAGAAGCCCTGTGGAGATGAGGTGGGGCAGGATGGTGGAGCAGACGTGAGTATCGCTCAGTACTGCAGAGGCCCTGACTCCGGAAGGATGTCAGAAGGTGCTCATGCTGCTGCTGCGTGTCTTTAGGCTGCGTGCCAGGCAGTAAGGAGAGGACCAGTGAACAGGGGACACTGCGCCCAGAGTGACCTTGCAGCGTTCCATGCAGCTTTGTATCTCTTGTGGCTTAGACTGGGTTGGCAGGTCAGCGTGTAAGACCTGCTTCTGTGGAAGGCAGTTTCTGCAGCCATTGTTGTACAGTGTTGCTGGTGTGAGCAGAGCTTTGAGAAGAGGACCTCGCTTTGTGCTCGTCGGTGTGCTGGTGCGTGCATTCTCGGTGAATGCATGTCTCATACACACATATGGCTGCTCTGTACCCAAAACAGCTGAGATGCATGGATTCTAGACAGTAAAAAAGAAGATAAAGACCAAATTGCATTGTTCTTGTGACCTGTGTTCCCACATCCTTTTCTGATGGATGTCTGTGTTTCCTCTGTACTTCCCAGGTTGTGTTGCCATGTGATGGGCTCCAAGCACCAATTGGGAAGACCTGTGTGTCCTCAGATCCCCATAGAGGTCAACAAGCCCCAGGACGTGACTGATGTAGATTCTGTTATTTGATGATGGATGATTGATAATGGTAAGTAGCTTCCTGCAGAATCTCCCTGGAGTTTCCTAATTTGTAGGACTCAAGAATGTTCTTGGATTGATGGTGTCACACATACATAGAGTCCTTGGAAAGCTAAACAAAAGGAATGAAAAATCAGTACTGTCACTGGCATAGAACTGAGGTCAGCACACCCCTCCAGTGGGGACCAGAGAAGTAGAGAGTGGAAGGGAACAATTGATCATTAATTCCCACTGCAGGCACCTCCCAGGTGGGCCAGGAGGAGTAGGATGTGGCCCTCCTTACTTAGGCGTTGTGGATTCTTGGGGCTCTTGGGCACAGCACGTGGCTTGTGTGAATGCCTAGCCATCCCTTCACTGCCCAGGGCTGAGGCACATGGAGTCTTAGCAGGTGGCTGAGTTCACTAGGAAGATTCAGCCTAGCTGCTAACCTTCCTTACTGGTGGGCTTGATGCTTTTGGTCCTCTGTTCTCTAGAGGACATTGGTTCACAGTGGTTCCCCAATCAAGCCTTGACACTGGCTTGGGCTCTTATGGTGTTGGTGGCACCCAGGGTAACATCTGTGGACAAAGATCCTCTGTTGGTAACCATTGGGATTTTGCTCACCAGCAGAGAGGATGTATGTAGTTTCCCTTTGGAGGTGGCCTGGAGAAACACAAAGAGCTGAATAGTTAGCGGGAGGGAGAAGTGTGAGGAGGAGTGCACGCACACCCATCAGAGTGATTTGGGGCCTTGGGGTTTCAGTCCCATGGCAGTGGTCGGTCAGCAACAACTCAGATCCCTGGCGACCCTCCCTAGTGGCCATAGCACGTATGGTTGCTCAGTGTGTCCGTGTCTTTTGACTGCCACGAGCCAGCCACGTGCATAGCCTACAGCATGTGGCTCACGTTTCCTTTTAGTCTTTGCTGAAGACAGAACACAGGAGGGCAGCGGAGGTGCAGAGGCTGCGAGCTGCACAGTAAAATGACCTTGCGTGCTGAGGTCACCGATCATTGCATCTACCACAGCATGTGCCGGTGGCTTTTGTCTTCTGCACTGGCTGAGGAGGCTGAGGAGGGTGAGGAGGGTGAATGGGGTGGGAGCACCTTGTAAACATTGCCCACAGTGGCTGCGGGGCTGTGCTCCATTTCACCATGTGCTGGTCAGTGGGGAGAATGTCCAGGGCCAGTTGTGCCCAGTCCATGGAGGGAATATTACACCACCAGCTGCGTGGAGCCACAGTGCGGTCCTGCATTCCTCGTGACAGCAGCCTGTGGTCTACAAGGGCCCTCAGAGGTGAAGCTGCCTTTGGCAGAAGACAGGCTCACTGCACACCTGGAGTGTGGCTTTTTATTGCGAGGTCTCACGTCAGTGTTCTTTTGTGGGGTGCACTCTCGATACGGGCCCTCTCGATGAATGCATGTCTGGTGTGTGCGCATCTGGCTGTGCCACACCAGGAGCGGTGAGGCACGTGGGTCCTAGTGGGTAACCGTAGGGGAAATGGCATGTCCCTCACGCTCTGGGTACATCTCTGCTTTTCTGCAGTGAGCGTGTTTCTTCTGCATTTCCCAGTTGGCATCCTGGGACGGACTGCAGGGGCCCAGACAGAAGAACTGTGAACCTGAGATCCCCAGAGGTCAGCGCATCTTCGAATGCCTGTGGATTGGCTTCCTTGGGGTGACAGTGGATGCCTGATGAAGGTAAGCGGCTGCAAGTGTAAACACCCCGTTTTTCCTAATTTATAGGGCTTATGAACGTGCTTGGATCAGTGATGACACTCACAAATGCATTCCTTGGAAAGCTGAACAAAATGAGTGAAAAACCTGTACCGTCATTCTCATCGAACTGAGGTCCAGCACACTCCCACAGCGACAGCTAGAGAGGTGGCGGGGAGAGGTAATGGAGGGGTCAGCTGGCAGTTACTGCCCGGGCAGCACCGTTCACTTGGGCCAGGAGTAGGACATGGTGCTCCTTGAGAATTACTAGGGACAGAGCGTCCGGATGTCCTTTAGAACTACTTGATGACTCCGATGTCCAGTGGCCATGTTGGGTTTGTGTTGGGGTTAGTATTGGTCAGCAGTGACGCTGGATCTCAGACTTCCCACTTGAATGAGTCCAAGGTCAGCTGCTGCTGAAAGCAGAGCTCAGAGGGAGATCCCGAGGCCGTGAGGCCATGAGCTAAGCTGCCGTATACACCGAGCCTGCTGCCTCTGTGCTCTGCCATCGGACGAGTACCGGCAGTGGCCGGGACTGTGGCAGCAGAGGGGAGGCGTGATAGAGGTCTCGTGGTGAATGTTCAGTGCGGGGAGGCGAGCGGCTTGTGAACATCACCCAGTCTCCAGAGGTGCCGGCTTTGGCGTGTACAGCAGTAGTGGTGGTGCTGATCCTGGGTCAGGGAGCACGTGCTAGCTAGCAGGGAAGGTCTCCAGGCCATTGTGCCCTTCAGGACCCCAGCCCCCAGTGGGCACCGTCCTTTGACTGATCCTGCTGTTCCCATGAGCACTGTACTCACACTGCTAGCTGTCTGTGGCCCACCAAACCTGTGGAGAAGTCAAGGCTTCTTCTGGGGAGAGGCAAGGTCCATCGCTGACTCTTTGTCACGCCACATGTTGAGAGGAGATTGAGGATTTGTAGCTTTGGGGTGATGCTGTGCAAGGCTGAGTACTCTCCCTGTGCACACTCACCTGGTCTCACTGTGCAGAGACCACCGAGGCCTGTGCATCTTAGGACATAGAGCAGAACGTAGGGCAGCTGGTTAAGTTGACTTGTCTCTGAAATGGTTTTGTAGCCATCTGCTTTTCTAATTAGAACTTTGTGTCTGTCCTCAGCACTTCGCATGTGCAGACTCCAGAGGCACAGTGTGAAGACCTGCCCTCCCTGACACCCCGGAGAGCTCCGAACACCTCAGGCTGCGTGAAGAGGCTTCTTCTTCGGGAAGGTGCTGTGGGGGGCCCTGCAGCAGGGGCTGTGTTTTCTTAACAGTTGAAGCACTCGGGCTGTTTTTAGGTTTTTCCCTTCAAAAAGCAAGTGGGTTTTTATGGTTTTTGGTGCTGCTCTAATTACATGATACAACAAACACTGTGGATGTAAAATGATTATATTTCAAGTACATTTTCATGTAGAATTTATCAGACTTCACATATGTTCACTTTTATATGTTGTGTTCAAAGAGATCTTCATTATGATAAATGCTTTGAAGTAGATATACTGGGAAAACTTTGGGATGGTCGTGTTATTAAATATTTCATACACTTATGGTCAAAGATGCAAATATTCTTTTTTTTTTTTTTGGTACCAGGGATCAAACTCGTGACGTCACACTTGCCAGGCAGGTGCTTATGCTGCTGAGCTAAAGCCCCAGCCCCAAAGATACAGACATTCTTATTTTTGTGATACAGATCATCCACTGAATACCATCCTTTTTGTCTTATATGAATTCTTACAGTTGCTTGTAACTAAATGATCAGTTAACAAAGTTTTTTGGCTGGGCTAAAAGTTTTGGTGGGCCACAGACAGCCGATTTGTAGGAGACAATTTGAACAACTGCCCTAGAATGGAAACAACCGCTGCAGCATTAGGTAAAACGAGGCTCGTTTCCGTACACCGACACGTACAGGGTGGGCTGTGCTGCTTTCTCTTCCCTTTAACTGACTCTGAGTGATGCAGAGAAGGGTGGGGTGGCCAAGGTACTGGCATGCTATCCCGGAGGCCAGCCTGACAGTTTGCTGTTTCTTCCTGTGGGGCTCTGTGTGAAAGACTGGCGTGCAGCAGAGTGGCAGAGCCGGTCACCTCCGGCATGTCAGCTGGGTCTGAGCCTCGAAGTAGAGGCTGTGACTCTCCAGGGCACAGAAGTTCGCATATCAGAAACGGAAGCAACGGCCTGCTAAATTCATACATGTGCCACCTCAGTCGGGTTGTGCAGGCTGGTCTTCCTGTGCGTCTCCCTGCGTGTCAGAGATGCTTTTCTCCCCACCTGGCCGGCCAGCTCAGTTTCTCACGTGTCCTCGCCACCCTCCCTGTCACTCATCCTCAGACCACCCCTGCTTCACTAGATAAGAAGCTCTGGGAGGGGCCTTGGGTCAAGGCGCGTATCCTCACTTGGATCGGGCTTAGGACCCCGTGGCTGCCCTTCACTCTGAATTTGTCTCGGTGTCGTTACCCCCACCGTGGGTCACACTGAAGGTGGGAAATTGGAATTCACTCGCTGGGATTCCAGGAACGTTCCGATGGTATTACAGACACAACTTTACAAAGTGTGAGGAAGATTGGCGCAGGGATTACAAAACTTGGATCACAATATTTGGATTACAGTAATAATTTTTCTTCTTTCTTTTGTGTTTGGTAGGTGAAGCATGTCAGAATTCCCTAGAATGTCATCACCAGACCTATGAAGAGCTGATTTTGTCACCTTCATCTGTGAAGGAACAAAACAGTGTACCTTGGGGTAACATCTATTTTTAATAAACTTGTTTTTGTAGGACTTGGATATTTTTAAAACTGTCAACAATATAATGTGTGAACAGTTTATTAACACTAATAGTGTTGGCCATTATTAATCTGAAGATCTGTCTGAGGTAGCACTCATTAAGGTTTTGTGCTTTTCTCAACTTCAAATAATACCTAAAATATCTTACAGGGATTTTAAGTTATTACATTTTGTATACGCATTTAGAATAAAATGTACTATCTTGTGCAAGTGTGAAAAATGAACAGGCTCTTTTTCATATTCATTTATATGTTATGTTTCTTTCTGCAGGTAAAAGAAGACCAAGAACTGGGCTTCGTGTGGATAAAGGAAAGTATGAGGAAAAATTCACTTTCAGCCTTAAGATTAAAGGGGAGTTCTCATACGGTAAGCAGTTTTTCTGAAAATACTGACATTCCTCCTAAGAGTGTCATAACGTTGCAGTGACCCTGCACGAGGCAGCGGTGGGGCTAGTCACTGGAGGCAAGGAAATGGTTTAAATGTGAAGCGAATAAAGCTTTTTACTTTTAGTTTCTCAAGTAAGTGTAGAGACTGAAAAGTGGTACGTGTGGAGTCTTCATAGTATATTTTAAGTTATTTGCTAATCGGCACTCGTGTTCACTCAGTGTTTCTTTTTCTCGTCAGCCGAGAGCAGTGTCAGACACGTAGACACAGCTTCAGCTGCAAGGGTTTTAGATGTAAGCGGTTAAGTTGCGAGTTCTCATTTTTGTGTGAATTTTCTTGGCCACTTTTATAGACTTTCAGAGCAATGTTAATGTTTTTTTGATCTTAATTTTAGATGGTGGGTGTACTACATAAACTTTAAGACAGTATTTTACAAATTTTAGTTTTAATTTCATTTTCCTCCTATTTTCTAGTAATATTTTATTTTATTTCTGTATGTCCACATTCCATGCAGTGAGTGTTCGTTGTTCTTGTCATACGGATGGTTAAGTGATTGCCTAGAAAATTCTTTACAGCCACTGGTTACAAAATATTCATTATTAGGTAAGTCTGGCTTTCCGGCTCCCCAGAGGCTCTGCTGTTTATCGACTAAAAATGATGTTGATAGAAAAGAACGTTTTGCTGCTTAGAATTCTTACTAATGCCAGAGAAAGACAGTTTTTGTCACTTTATTTTATCACAACTTCTTCTATGAGAAAGATCAAAATGACGCCTGCCAGAAATAACATCCTATTTTTAATAAATGTATTTTTCTAAGTGATTTTTCTTATTTATTGGTAAATTAGAATTAAATTTGTTTTCCAAAGTCTATTGATTTAAATGGTATAAGACATTAGTTACCTGGTGAATCATCTGGGGTTCTGTTTTCTCACTCAGAATTTTTACACTGTCTGCATTATGATGACGCCAGAAACATCTCAGTTCTAAGTTAGTGCAGACTCGTAATGATCCTCGCTGGTGTGTGTTTGATAAATGGATGCATATGCTTCTTATGTTCCCACATTTTTACTCTACCCCCACAGGTCAGCACATACTAAAAATGGGTTTCATATGAAGAACTTTATGCATTAAGATATAACATGAAGGGAATTACTAGGAATAACTGTACCATCCTTTCTTTCTTTATTATTTTTTATTTTGACTTGTTCCTTTTTATCGGTACCAGGGATCGAACTCATGACTGCCTGCTTTCAAGGCAGGCGTTTATGCCACTGAGCTAAATCCCCAGCCCCCATCCTTTCTTGAGACACAGTGGGACTTCTCCTGATGAGCATCTGCCTGCACCTGGCATTGCTGATGTTCTTCTTAGGGAACTGTAACACTCCAGTGGTAATGAGAGTCTGTCTGTGCTGGTCAGGTTGGGCTGGCTCGTACTGCTCCCTGGTCTCCATGACTTAATCGTGCGGCCATTGTGTCCAAGAGGGATCGGATCTTAGCATTTAGTGTCTGTCACCTCTCGCTTTTATGAATGAGCTGGATTAGGGATAACAATGATAAGAGAATACAGGCAAATTAAGTAATAATTACTTCACTGAAACTGATTGCAAGACATAGGGACCATGTGATAAAGTTATTTTTAATCTGAAATTTATCGTGACAATTTAAGATATATTTTGTAAATATTAGGACCACAGTGAGCAAAGTAACTCAAAACATTTAAAAGAACTGCCAAAGAATTAAAATAGGATAATAGAAAATGCATGGTTTCACACACACACACACACACACACACACACACACACACACACACACAAAGCATTTAGAAATGAACAAAGAATCAAACAAATATAAGACATAGGAAATGGGGAAATGGCCCATTTATAACCCATAAATGACATTTACATTCAACTTTTGAAAAATACTGGGACAGTCCATGTTTTTCAAAAAATGAAATAGCTACAGACTGTCTATCGCTGAGTCACTCCTGAACAGAAGTCACAGATAATTTCAGTGGCAAAAGCTATGAGAGAGAGACAGAGACAGAGACAAAGACAGAGACAGAGACAGAGAGGAGAGGAGAAAAAGAGGGAGGAATGCATAGAAGATCTCTGGAGAGGCCATACTAGTACTGCACAGGAGATATTTTAAGATAAAGTATTCTTAGAGATAAATCTTTTATATTACGGAAGAAAAGTTTATACTCTGGAATAATGATAATCATATAAGCACTAACAATAATGCTGCAAATTAGATCAAACAAAAGCTACGTGATTGGATGGCTAAAAGGTGATTCAGGATAGTAACAATTTACTTCTGCAACTTAACCTTAGGGGCAGAGGGAAAATATACCAGAGAAATTAAGCTAAAACCGTGTTCAGTAAACTTAACAAGATTGAAATCATGTAGATTTCCTATACTAATAGGAAAATTAAATTAGATGTCAAAAGAAAAATGAATTTGGGAATTAACACACTTTATAGAACCTATAAGTGAATGAAAAATTTTAAATTTTGAACTATGACATTTTGTACGGAATCTGATATAACTAGTGATGTACTTTGTGAGAAATACATAGCTTTAAATGACTAAATTGGAATAAATAACTCAGGCTCTCAACTCAAAAAGTAAGAAAAAATACTAACAAAACAGAGCTAAAAGCAACCAGATCTAAAGATCTGAGTAAAAACTGATGACATAAAGAGAGAAAAACTGTAGAGAAAATCCACGAAACCCGATGTTCAGTTTGCCGTGGATGGAGGTGACGGTGGCTCAGTGGCTAGACGGGCACAGCTAAGGTCAGGAATCACAGAGAGGCTCAGCCGTGTGCTGCCTGCCCGCGAGCCTCCTCCACGGGAGAACAGTGGAGGAAAACGGTCTAGCGTCACTTCAAATTCCGCAGCACGGCGTCTGTGTTTTGGTGCTGTCAGGGCTCTTCCCGGGAGCCTTTCAGATCCTTCCAAAACAGCGTCACTGACTCCAGTCCTCTGTGTGTACAGCCGCTTAGATTTTTTAAGCTAATTGTTTAATCTAGTTTAGAGGGATTTTCACACTTGGTGTGCGTTGACAGTCCGTGAGTCATTCACAGTTTGCACACTTCTGAGTCCTAGAGGTTCTGAGGACCTGTGCTTAGCTGGTAGCATGTGGGCACTGGGGATCAGGGGGCCTGAATGGCTCTTTCTCTTCAGGAATGAAGGTGATACTGGGTCAGAGTGAGGCCCGTGCCTGCGGGGTTGCTGAGGCTCTGCAGAGGGCCCGGTGGGTGAGAGTACCGAGAGAGTGCACAGACTCTGACACTGCCATGCTGATGCACGTCCACTTTGAATGTCACCTCTCTCATCCATGTAGCAGCCCGTGGCAGTGTCCAGTTCCGTGCCTCTTCCCGCTTGCTCAGCGCAGTCAGTGCAGATCTCACTGCCCGCTGGTTGGCAGAGCGTGCCGTCCTCCTTGGCCTCCCAGGGGCACAGCTATGTACAGCCCCTTGACTGGCACCACTGACCCCAGACCCCAAGCAGAATGTGCAAGCGTGCCCAGTGCCCGTCTGCAGTCACAGTGTGAACTCAAGCCCACTTGCTTCACTCTTGTCAGTAAACCCAGAGGGAAGCCTGTTTGGAGAGGACCTTGATGTCTGTCTGCGTCTCTGTCTTTCTCTTCTGACAAACCCATGGATGTGATCTGGGGCAGACATGTCCCCTCTGCCTTTCCCCTCCTCCCCTTCCCTATTCCTGTGTCTTCCTGACCTCCGTGTGTGACTCCAGACATGCAGTGTACTCCCAGGACCTGTAAATAATGCAGTCTGAGTTTCTGTCTGTGTCTCTCCTAATTACTGAAGGGCTGTTCTCCATCTTTGTGATCCCAAAATGAAGCAAAGAGAAGGGAAAGCTACCTCCAAACACTGCACGGCAGGCTGAAACGTCCTGCGTGAACTCCTACCTGGTTAGTTATTTTTCTCAAGTTCCTGTACAGCTTGTCTTTGCCACATAATAAGTAATCTTCATGGATGAAAACCCTCATGGTTCTTGAGGATCAAAAAAAGAACTTTGTTATCTAACTGGCTTGTGAGATCTGTAAACCAATAGATACATAGCCAACGGACCCACTAAAATTTGAGCAGGGATGATATAGATTAAAAACCAAAGAAAATGTCTAAAAGTTTATCCCAGGTTGATAAAAAAGACCGAGAAGCACTGTGTTAAATATAGAGAGAAATTAGTGCTTCTTCCATGCAGCCTTGAGCATCACATGTGAGCTGTACAGTGTGTCAGGATTCCCCCGGCAGTAGCGGCTTTGCAGAGATGGTGGATTTAGAAGGCTGTATTTCTTTTCCCGTTTAAGGACATTTCATATTTTTTTCTTCTGCAGTACTTTAGCCTAAACCTTTGCCTACGAGATGTGTTCGTTTGTGTGAAGGAAATAGCTTTTTGTCTTCTGGTGGAAAGGCATTTGCAATTCAGGAAGCTCAGCTGGCCCAGGTCCATGCCCATGTGTTTGTTAGCAGTAATTCTCAGGACAGACTTTAGTATATATCTGATACTGGAGATTTGTCTGTGCACTGCGCTTTGCCATTGCTCTGGCCCCAAAGGGTTTTCTGGCAGCAGCCGTTGTTCATTGTGACCCTCTCCAAAGATGATTTATGGTAAGCTTTTTCTTTTCAATAGTAATCCGAACACACAGAGTATAACAATGATTTTTATGATCTGATTAGTACTTATTTATTGTTATAATGTTGTTTTCAACTATTTCCTCACAAACTGCTGAAAAACCCGACCCCAGCCCGCCTGGATGGTGGTGTAAGCCCCAGCACTCCCAGGGCCCTTTGCAGAGGTCTCTTAGCACTGCCTGGGTCTCCTGTGTCACCTGCAACACGAACACTGTGTTTCATGGCTTTACCAAGAGAGGGATATACAAAGTCTCTAAAGCTGTGTGTGCCTGCAGACTCAAGGACTGCTCTCTGATAGTACCCAAGGTAATGAGGCAGGGAGTCGATGGATGATTTCTACAGTTCGTCTAAAACTTTGCTCAGCTGTACACCCAGCCGTAGGCAGAAGAGCCACCTGGAGAGTTACGCTGAATCTTGAGTTTCTGACTCTGAACAATTGAAACCTTTTTACTTGTAAACTTGATTGCATTCTGCTTTAGAAAAATAGATGTTCTTTTTAGAAACGTAGAATAAACTGTTGCTTTTTTTGGCATATTCTTCTCCATTTTGAAAGATTAATCACCTTTCCAAATAATTGTCTCTTTTGTGTGTATGAGTATATTAGGAATGTTTTGCAGTTTTATTCTGTAACATCTGTGCTTGCATTGTGCGGTACAAAAGACACCAGACACAAGTGACTACTTAAGCCTGAATATGAGTAATTAAAATTAAACATTAAACATTAGTTGTCGGCCCAATAGCCACGTTTTCCACGCTCAGTAGCCACAGGAGACGGGAGCGGCTCTCTCTGGGTGTTTGTGCTCGTGCAGATGTGACTGCCGTGAGGGCAGGAGCTGCGTGCTTGTAGGTCAGAGGCTGGCAGTGGCTAAGAGCTGACAGATGTGCACAGCATGGAACCACAACACATGTTCACTGTCACCTCACCAAGTTCCGTGGTATGCACACTGTTCAGAGCTCTACATGTATCAGTGTAGGTGATAAGTACAAGTTGTATAAAAGATTATTTGGAGGAAAGTATGTTTGAAAACACAACTATAAAATATTGTATTGATAAGTATTACTGTTTATTAACTTCAGCAAGCAAGAACTTGAAATAAAGCAGACAGCAGTCTTCTGTCAGTATATGTATACACAGTAGACCAATGCAAGTTTTATTGTTGTTGTATGTTTTGGCTTGGCTTTTCTTTGTAGGTAAAAGTTACAGTTTTAAACTTTTGTGAGCCTAGTGTTTGAAGATGTCTTAATGGCTCACAGTACAATAGAAGCAAACCTATAAATACATTTGGTGAAATTTGACATAATATTCAACGGACCACTTAGAAAGCACGTCTGACTGAGATGTGTGCTGTTTCTCATTCGTCCACTGGATAATCAGAATTGTGACTCATAAGCCACAGTTAAGCCGCTCATTGTTCTGTGCATTTTTAAGGGCACTCAATATGGTAGTCAAATGTGTTCTTCATTTTGACATTTGAGTCATACTGAAATTCTTTAAAAATTACTGTGTATTCCGTGCTTCCTTAGAAATCATAAGTAGACATGTTATATTTATGGATGCCTTTTACGTGAACAATTGTTAGGACACTTTCAGTTATTATACATGAGCGTATTTTTCACTATTGCTTTGGGGCAAATTGTAGACTTTTTTAAAGAGTAATTTAATTTCTCTAGATATTTATATATTGTTGACATACACATTTTCCTATAAAGATGGTCTTGTGAAAATAACTTACAAACAGAATTGACACACGGAGTGTGACTTTTCTTTGGGTTTACAGTAGAGTGACCCTATTTTTGTTGCCATTTGTACCACAGTAAAAATTTTATTTTATGGCATTTATTCTAATAGAACAGCATTTTTTGGTTTGTTTTTTGAGATAGTATCTCACTGTGTAGTTCAGACTGGCCTTGAACTCATTTTGTAGCCACAGGCTGACCTGGAACTTGTTGATCCTCCTGCGTCAGCCTCCCCAGTGCTGGGATCACGGGCGAGTGCCACCATGTCCAGCAGAACAGAATGTCTTACCTTGCTTGACATCATTATTAGCTGAGCCCTCTCTCTGTCCACTGGGTCTTATGGGGAAAGGCAGAGCATGAGCGTTTGTGCTCATGGCACAGAGAACTAGCAACAGCCGTCTTTTCTAACCTGAACACACCATAGGGTGCCCACACTGCATGAATGACATTTTGCATGTGTGAATATGGCTTATTTGTACACATAGGTGTGTATGTGTGTGTGTGTGTGTGTGTGTGTGTGTGTGCGTGTGTGTGTATTTTGTCCTAAAATGGTATTTTCCCTCTTGTTTTTTCCTGGTAGGTGAAGATTGAGTCTGTAAAGGAGGGGCAGGTGTGGAAGCACTGGCATTAAATCTCAACTGTGAGCCCCAGAAAATGGGCTGACAGCTTTCCAGTCCAGCTCTCCACTCTGTGGTCTCCTGGACCACCATGCAGGTAAGGTCCCTATATGGGCAGGCAGCTGCGTGTTCATGGGAAGGAGACCTGAGATGGGTGTTCGTGGTGAACTTTGCTGTTCTCTCTCTCTCTCGTTTTTTTTTTTTTGTCTTTTTCATTTTTATCGGTACCAGGGATCAAACTCACGATTGCACACTTGCAAGGAAGGCACTTATGCCGTTGAGCTAAATCCCCCAGCCCCAAACCTTGCTGTTCTTAAGCAGGACAAAATTTGGTTGCAGCTAAACAACATTAAAAACCCCTCTGAGAGCTAGAGGACTGTAGTTACTGCGCTGGTGAATTTCAGCTCTGCAGCCGTAACAAGTGCTCCTGAATTCCGGGCTTTCCTCAGTAATCCTACCCCCAACTGAACTAGACCATGACTTCGGAGCTCTAAGTTCATGTGATTGGTTCTTCCATTGGGCTTTGATTGTTTCAGTCCTGAGGATTAAACCCAGCCGGATAATTTTTAGCTTGTTTTTGAGTGTCTGTGTCTTGTTTGTGACATAGGACAGTTTGTGGAATGCTCATCAGAGAATAAGTGTTCAGCAAGCTTTTGTTGAGAAGAGATAAATAAGACTGCTTTGAGTGACGTTTTTTTTGTGTGCAACCTGTCCAGCTAGGTATAGACAAATGATTTTTTAAAAAGTGAGAACCTAATTTGTAGTGGAACTGAGACAATCCGCTCAGTTTCAGAAATGCACAAGAGAGAAAAGTCCTGAATTAAGGTGATGATCCTGAAATCTATAGACACAGAACAGAGTTACGATTTTGTAGCCCTGTAAGAAAGAGGCGGTTTCCTATAAAGGCAGTATGAGAGGAGACTGCAGTCAGATCCCAGCGCGTTGCCTGTTTCTTTGAAAGTGATGATCTTGTGTTTCTTCACTTTAGACAGTGACTTCCGGGGAAGTCTTCTGGGAGTAACTGCTGCGGGTAGATCCTGGCAAGAAGGGTCCTCGTAAAGCTCTCACCTGCGTGTTGTCTAGCACAAACCCTCTGAAGGTAAGTGTTTCAGTTAGAGTAGGTGAAGCCATGTCTGGGTAGAACATGACATGTTGATTTCTAGAAGATTGATGTCCCGGGTATATTCTGATTGCCTCCAGTGACCAGATTGCATGATTAGTTAAGAACAATGCCTTCATTAACTTTGCTACAGCTCAGTGAATTTTCTGTCAATATAAAAGGTTTCCTTAACTTGAGAAGCCTTCAGTAAGCCAAGTGTCTTCAGGGCTGGGTGGATGCTTTGCGTTGCTAAAGCCTTGATGTGTTCATGACATACATTCTCAACATATGGGTGGTGACAAATGGTTTCATCCAAAATAGCTGATCAAATGAAGGAGTGGCCTAGAGCTTTAAGGCATCAAACAGAGGCAAGAGAAAGACACAAAGCCTAAAGTTCCTGGAAAATGCTTAACATTTTTTAGCTCAGGAAAAGGACAAAAAGCAACAGCAGCGTCTGTTTTTCTGACCCCACTGCTGGAGTCGGGCTTTTCCTGTGTATGTAGGACAATTTGTTCCAGCACATGAGAGAGGATAGTAAATAAGGTCTCGTGGCCCCCAGCTTGCTTTGGAAACGTGCTTGTGCCTTTGCCGACTCTTCCCTCCCTGTCCTTGCAGGTCACAGCCCAGGGGCAGTCGAGGCGGTACGTTAGAGTGGGCGCTGTTACCTCTGCCCCGTCCTCACCACAACGCGACAGTTTCCCTTTGCACGGAGAGTGCTGCTTTCCCGTGTGGCAGCGGATCCCTTCTGCAGATAAGAAATGCTTAACTGAGAATGCTCGTGTTGGGCGTCGTCGATGAGACTTTAATTTGGGCATGGTGACCGTTTCCCTTGCTGCCACTGACTCAATCCTGGGAGCCTCAGTGGAGGAATAATATTGCGCAAGAAGCTCACAGTGGTGGAATTTCTCAGTGCTCCTATACATTTCTAGTTTTTATTTGCCACATTGGATAAATTCTAAAATAGGATATCTTTAAAAGAAACTGCATGATTTTTTCAAAAATTCAAAGCATATTCAAACAATTGATACATAAATTGGTGCCCTGCTCTCTTTCAGTTCTATAGTTTTCATCTATTAAGGGAGGTGTGTGCATTCTCTTAATGGATAGATGTACACGAGCTGTTTGGGGAGGGAGTCTAGAAGTGGGTCCATCTTGTAATACATTCTCTGCAATTTGCCTCCTTCATTTACCAGTCTTTTCAGTGGACATTCTCTGATATACACACATCTGTGTCATTTGTTGAGTGACTGCATGACTGTTTGTAGATGAAATATAATTAAATGTTTCAAGCATTTCTCATTCATAGATGTTTATGTTAGCACCAAATTTCTATGCAATGAACCTCCCTACACATCAACAATTTTGCTTTGTCAATGGTATCATAATAAAATTTCTTAGCAGTTGAATTACTGGGATTAAGGGTGTGCACGCTTCAAATTTTGAAAATTATTGCAAGATCTCCTTTAAAATGTGGTTAATAATTTTATCGTTAATGGCAATGAGAGAGGTTGTCGAATTTCTCACAACCTCACAGATAAGTGGATTTTATAAATATTTAAAATCTTGCCAGTGTGATCGCCCAAACTATTGTCTTAAATTGTATTTCTTTTGTTTTTGAGTTTGATCATTTTTCATGTTTATTAGCCATCTGTATTTTTTAATTTCTTCTTTATGTCCAATTCTGGGGGTGTACAGAGGTTTTAGTCTCAGATTCCGAAAGCACGTTTACTATTGGTAAAATAAGTTTTGAAATTGTTAAGCATTGCGAGTATTTTTACACACCTTTAGCTCTGTTTTTGTTATAAGAATGTGTATGATTGTTATATGTTCAACTATAACCATGTTCACTTTTATGGCTTCTGAGTTCCATGCCATTTTTGGAAAGATATTTATACTGAGTCCATAAAACCCTTCACCTGTGTTAACTTTGAATTCCTTTGTGTTCTTTTAATTCAACTTCTTAAATCATGAGAAGTTTTTTGTTTTGAAATCTACTTAAAGTCGCCAAGTGGTCTGCCATTACTTGGGATTATTTGCGTGACTGCCCATTTTGCTGTGACGCCATCCTGCGTGTATGCTGTGTTCTCGTCTGTGACTGGCTCCATTTCTGTTCCGTGGATCTGTGTGTCTCCTCTCCTGCCTCCTGCCTCATTTGTCTTCTCGTTGGAAGAAATTACAGTTTAGACTGCAATTTCATCAACTTTAATAAATCAAGTTAGGGAAGACTTGTTTCTTTAATAATATTGAGTCTTCGTACCCAAGAACAAGATGTATTTTTTTTTCATTCAGTAATTTGAATTGTGGTTAATATTTTCACTTTGACATTGGGGTTTTTCTTTTATTTGTTTGTTTTCTGTACCTGGAAGTTTTATTTTGTCTTTTGGGATACATGGTCACCTTAGTGTTTCTCATTGCTTCTCAGATTTTTTTCAAAATGCATACCAAATTCTTTGCAAAGATTGATAGCTTTGATTTCTGGCCTTCCAATTGGTCCTGACTTTGATAAAAGTCCACAGTCTGGTACTTTCAGAGCACTTAAACGGCTGTGGAAGCATTACCTACTCTTGATGTAAATGGGTTTCAGTAGAATGCTTCTTGGGTTAAACAGCTCATTTTTCTGGACCTGTTTCCCCCAAAAAGCTATGACCACCCCAAACTGAGTTAAACTTCTTGCAGCAAGGGAAAACACCACCCTGTCAGGGTTTAGTAACATCTCCAGAGCAGGATGTGTGGGCTCTGAGTCTGGACGGATGGGACGCAGGGTGGGGAAGGGAACAGGGGCGGGCGGGATCACCGTGAGCTGGGGAGGATGGCCTGGTCCTCAGTGTGAAAACCACGCTGGGTGTCGTCTAAGTGAGCTGTCTGCTTGGGTAAAGTGTGTCAGTGACGTAAGACTTCTGTGCCTGGATGAGAAAACCAAATTTATTTACCCAGTTTACAGTTTCATCTTGCTGAGCAGGACTCTGCTGGGGTGGTATCAGTTCTATCCCCAATAGGTAAGTTATTTTAATCATTGACGTAAAACTCTAAGTTAAGAAATTCAGCCTGCTGCGTTACATGAAAAGTCTTCCACTTTGTATATTTTTCTCAGGAACTTTAATGAGTATCAAGCAATAGATACAATTAATACCTTTTGTAGAAACTTCATTTTTAAAATGTTTATCACCATAAAAGAATTAATCTTCTGTTATTGAAACTTCTTTTTATCCTTTGCATGAACAAACCCTGTTTCATTTTCAGAATGTTTACTGTTTTAATTTACTGCTGAATTCTGGGCTTTGTATTTGAAAAATTTGCAAGTATGTGACTAAGTAGCATTAGCCTGTAATTTCGTTTTTGCAGTTTCATTGTGTTTTGATATCAGATTATCTCACGTTAAGGTGACTTTGAGGCTTTTCTCTTGTGCTGTAGAGGAGGGTTCAGAGCTTAATGTCCTCAGTGGCTGAGTGAGCACATCAAGGGCAGCCTCTCGGACTCTCCCTCGGGTGTGGTTGTTTATAATAGAAATGAGATGAGGCTGTCTCTGGCAATTTTGCATTTCTTTTCTATGGTTTTTCAATAATTTTTTGGGTGTGTCTTGTATATAACCTTTTTTCCTTCTGTGAGGCCTTAGTCCATGCAGATTCTCAAATACATTAGCAAGAAATTTTGGTTATTTCTTCTATGGCTTTTTTTTTTTGGGGGTGTGTGTGTGTGTTTTTGAGACAGGGTCTCACTATGCAGTTCAAGGTGGCCCTGAACTCACTTTGTAGCCCAGGCTGGTCTAGAACTCACAGTAATCCTCCTGCCTGAGATTAGAGGCATGTGCCACCATGCCCAGCCTCTATGCCTTTTTAACCAAATATTTCAACTAATGTATTTTTAGTATCATTAGCCTTCCTCTCTCCAGTCATGGTTTTGGTATAATTTATCAGTTTTCTCAAATGTCCTCATTTCTCTAAGTATTTACCTGTATTCTTTTCCCGTTTCCCAATAAGCCTTAGGCTTATATAACACTTGTTCTTTTTTTTGTACTGGGCATCGAACTGGGACCTTGCACTTGCCAGGTGCTGTGCACTGACTACGTCCCGGCCCTGACACCTGTCCTTGATAATGAAACAGTGTTTCTGTTGTACAGTCTGTGAAACTGTTCATTATGAATAATTATACGCATAAAGACTATGAAAAGAACAGGCACTTGCGCTTTCTGGCAAGCAGGCACCCAGGTTCCACTGTGGTCCACATTTACCATATTTGCCTGACGTTATTTTAAAAGAGAAATTAAAGCACTTTTCTTTTCCCAGGACCATTTTCATAAATTACTTTTAAAATCATACTATATATTACTAAGTACAAACTGTCTGAGTCTATTCCATGAAACATGATTCACCTTTTGTGTTTTCTCCTCCCTGACCACTTTCTCCTTTCTGGAGAAAACTAGTGTTTTTCTTTTCAAAAAGACAGACAGACAGACAGACACGCACACCTACCTATACACACCTTCCACACCTCAACATGTGTGTACCAAATACATAAGCACACATAGCTTAATACTATAACTTGATTATATGTGACATATGAATATTTTGGTATTTACCTCAAATTATTATATGTGAAAAGCTTCTCCATGTTTAGGAACTTACCTAATTTAACATTTAGAAAGCTTACATAATTAAAGGCACAGGTTTTAATTGCATAATTTCATGAGTTTGCTTAAAATAACTACTAGCCAGCAGGCAGGGTGACTCCTGCCGTGACCCCCGACTCTGGACACCGAGGGTGCTCGGCTGCAAGTCTGAACAGCGCCTGTCTAAGAAAGAGAAGATAAAACTTTACTTTTATTGTTACTTGAGGTTTCACCCTACTGCCTTTTCCAAGCAAATTTTCACGGGAAACAATATCCTGATTTGTATGATAATAAACTTAGTTTGTATTTGAAGTTAATATGAATGGAATGAAACAGCGTACGCAGGCCTCTTGCACTGTTCCTAACGCTGTTTACATCCTTCGATGTTTTTCTCATATCACTAGGTTTTTAAAAGCTTTTCTGCACACTTACCGCATCGAATGGGCGTATTGTGGTTTGTCTGTCCAGTCTTCTGTTGAAGGGCGCTGGCTGTTCCCATTTGTTAGCTGCTTAGAATGTTGGTGTATCTCATGCAATTACCTAACCATGAAATTGCTTGACCATAAATAGATTCTCGCTTAACTTTACAGAAAACTGCCAAAGTATCCTCTAAAGTTATTCTCATCCGTTAGTGACAGGTAACCTTTTAGTTACTGTCCGTTATCACCAACTGATAATGGGAAATTATCAGTCTTCTATCGTTCCCTCTCCTGCCCTTAGTGTCCTGGACCCCTCCTCACTTGCAAGAGATCCGTCTCCTGTGCGGAACGTGGTTTTGCTCTTACACTTTGCCTTACTCAAATGAAAGATGCAGTACGGTATGTACATTAGTGTCTCGAACGTCTTTCACTTGACATTTTTTTTCAAGTTGTGCTTATTTTCCTATAAATGTCTCAAATGTGCCCTGCTTTATAGCTGAGGAGGATTACATTGTTATAGATGTTCCATTTTCTCTATCCGTTGATCTGCTGATAGATATCCAGGCTGCTTCTAGGATTAGACTAGTATCAATTATACTGCTGTAAACACTAGTGGCATGCATCACTGTAATATGACATCTTTAGCCCTTTTGGGAAAATTCCTAGAAGGCAAATAACTTGGTCAACTGGGATTTTATATTTTAACTTCTTTGAGAACTATCCGCATGGATTTCCATGATGGCTATATTACATTACAGTTTCACCAACTGTGTGAAAGGCTGGTGCTGGTGTTGGGGTTACGGAAGGGCTCCTTTTCACCACAGCCGCGGCAGCAGCCGTTGTTATTACGGGGTGATTGCCCCCTTGCTGGTGTAAGGTGAGATTGGTGGTGTTCTGGTTTGCGTTTCTCCAATGACCTCTAGAGATGGTGAACCTTCTGTCCTGTGTTCATTGGCCATTTGTACTTTTTACTGAGAACTGTCTGTTCATTTCACTTGCCCAGTTTTTTATTACATCTTTTCTCTGCTCTGATCATCGCCCATTGAAGTGTACTTAACAGTATTTTAGGATGTCCCTAATCTGCATCTCTAACCCTTCAAAGTCTTCCTGAAAGCCAGCTTTAAAGGCTGCTGAGCCAATGGTCAGGCAGTCATAGAAATGACCCCATATCTCTGGTATCAATTTTATATATTTAATTTGACAATCAACATTAACCACCATTTACTTCCAAACATTTAGTGACTTTCTTCTGGGTAAATAATGCTCTATTAATTCTATTACTGTATAATAAAATATAAAAGTGCTGTATAATATTTCAGTTTTTCCAAGTTTATTGAAACATGGTGTAGCACATGATCTATAGTGATAAAAATTTCACCTGCACGTGAATGCATATTTATTTTTCACTGAATATAATGGTCAGAAAATGTCAATAATTTAAGATGTTTTTTCAGATAGTGATTAGCTTTCCTACATACTTAGTAACTATTTTATTGCTATGTAAGTTACAAAGAGTACAGTTAAATTTTCTGCCTGTAATTGTGAATTGATCAGTAGCTCTTTATATATTTAAAAGCTTACTTTTTAAAAATTTTATTTTAAAGAGAATAAAACCAAACAAAATGAAACAGAACAAAGACAATCAAAACAAAACAGTGAAAGTGATCTAGGACTTCCAAGCAGGATAATGGGAAATTAACAATCACTAACACAGAATAAAACCAGTGGAAACAGAACGTTGAAGAAAACAAAACAGTGAGAACAATATTGTATTTCAAAAACAAAAAGAAGGAAACCCCCGTAGCGGCTGTATTGCATGTTGTTATCCTCTAAATAGATGCTCAGACTACTGGCTGTAGGCCTGCAAAGTCGATCCAACAGCATAAGCATTAAGTTGTTC